GATCTCAAGTTTAACTGAAAGTTGCAGATTGTTTGCGCCATCTATTGGAACATTCACTTACACAATCAGATGATTTTTTTTTCCCTTCTTAATATAGTCTAACCCAGGGGTCGGCAAACTTTTGAGTTGGAAAAGTCCAAAATTACAATTTACAAAATTTCAAAGTTTTTAAAGAACCACAAATATTTTTCTTGCCAACAATAAATAGTACTCACATAAATAATATTTACGTATAGAACTATATAAAGAGCTTCACATCCAAAGAGCCGCATGTGTCTCACGAGCCGCAGTTTGCCAACCCCTGGTCTAACCTCCTTTAATTCAACATCTACTTTACTTCAACCTAAAGCTCTAATCTCTTGGTGTGTCGAATTAAAGAGGTTTGACTGTATTTGGTTATCCTAGGAAAATGTGCACTAGCAATGAATGTTTGTAATGATTCTTTAAAAAAAATAAATCAATTTTTTGTACTGTGTGCCCTTAATGCAATGATAAAATAATGGGATGGCCTCAGTGTTGAACCCTCCCAGCAGTAGATTAAACTGGCAAAACTGCTGGGAGGGTTCATCACTGATGAGCCAGGCCATCCCATCATTGCATTAAGGGCAGTAGAAATTGAGGGGGTCGGTGGAAGGATGGTCTATACCATTGGTTTTCAACCGCTACAACCCAGGTCCGATTCCCGCATTGGGCACTTTTTTCTGATTAAAAAAAAAAAAAAATGCTCCAATGGACCCTGAAGTCCAACCCCACCAGTGAGTGCAAGTAACTAAACGGGGCTCTGGCACATTTGTAAGTGCAAAGTTGAACTGCTTTTCACATGTGTAGACATGTGGTGCACTTACAGTAAAAAACCAGTCGCCTGCTTCAACCCACCATGATTATCATGGCCTGTATCACGTGTACTAGGGATAAGCAAAAAAAAAGATTTATTTCAAAAAGAACCATACACGTCAAAAATAGTTAAAATTACTTATAACAGATGGCAGCACACTATTACATCACATTAATAAATGTTTGGATAAAATCATCTAACTGATTCAACAATTACTACAATATAAAGTTCTGATTGTAATATAATATGTTTAAATATATTTGACCATCAACCAACATTGTTGTTTTTATAAATATGTAATATACATCTAACTTTACATTATTAGTATGTTGCACGTTGTTCACTTAAGATAAATAAGTCTTTTATATAAAAATATATCTTTCATCAATAATAAACATAAACAAAATATATTACACTGATCCCTTAGGGTGTTGAAGATGCTTATTTATAAGAATCCCATATACTATTTCACATCTCATTCTTACAGTCTATTTAATATAATGGTAAATGGCTGGTAAACCGTTTGGTTTTCGACCACTATGACCCGGGTTCGATTCCCGCATTGGACACTTTTTTCTGTTTAAAAAAAATGCTCCAATGGCCCCCGATTCTTGCAAAAGTCCAACCCCACCAGCGAGTGCAAGTAACCAAACGGGGCTCTGGCACATTTGTAAGTGCAAAGTCGAACTGCTTTACACATTCGTATACATGTGGTGCGCTTACAGTAAAAGCAGTCGCTAACTACCCACCATGATTATCATGGCCTGTACCACGTGTACTAGGGATAAGCAAAAAAAAAAAATTCATTCTAAGATCCCAAGTGTCAAACAATGATAATTGATGAACAAAATTTGACAATTATACCGCAAATGTTTCTTTTGAACTAAAAATCGAAATTTATTTTACGGCGAAATAATGATTATTTCTATCCTTAGGGATGAAGTATGATAGGATGAATTGTGAAGAGTAATGATAAACAGAAAAATAAAGTGTCCAGGGATGGGAATCTTTGATTTTTCGTTTAAAAGAGAAACATTTGTGGGATAATTGTCAAATTTCGTTCTACAATCATAAGCCGCATTGTATTATAAATTATATTGTATAATAATAATAATTGGGTAAGATACTCATTTCTGTGGTCCATCAGCGATTGTATTATTCCACACTAGGCCTACTTGCAGTAAACAAAAATAGTTCCATTTCTAAAACACAACCTATTTTAACGATAAAGCACAATTTGGATTATTATTATTTATTTTTTTTTTTTGCTTATCCCTAGTACACATGGTACAAGCCATGATAATCATAGT